TTCTGTACAGGAGACGTTCAACAGTAGTGCGAGAGATAGTCGACTCCAGGCTCCAAACCGTGGTATGGTGGCCAACAACGATGATATTATAACGATGTGACATCAATGGCGGTCAAGAGACAGTTCCCGTCACACAGGCAAAATCGTGGTCATGGTGTCGACGATAAAAAGGCTATTATGTTTTATTTTATTTAAACTGATTCCATTGATTTGATGTTAAAGTGGCTCTGATACCATTTTAGGGTTTTAAAACAATTTGTAACCATTTGAAACACATCGGAAAAAACAGTTGAGGTTACAATACATAAAGCTTTTCTTAGTCTTTAAAACCCAAGTCGGATTCAATAACAATTAAAACAAATATCCACACGCCATAGGTGTTTAGAATTTGTACTTTTTAGATCTAACGTGGATTTTGACGGAGCACTTAGAAACCAACGTAGATTTCCTCTATGATAGTCCACACAAGAACATGTTTGCTGACCTCCACCAGGTGCTAGCCTAAAACCCTACATCTATATATGTATTACATAAAAGAAAGGTTTCTTTTCTGTCTTCTTTATCTGGTAGTTAAATTTAAATGATTCAATCACTTGAAATTGATTTAGTCTATCACCTTATTTATATGGTATGAATTACTGATAAGCTATAATTCAAAAATAAGGATTTGTAATTATTCGTAATGTTTATATAATTATCTTAAACTTTAATATGATTTTATACATTTACAGATAATACCTTGTAATTTTTTTTAATCAAACTTTAACACATATTTTCATAATTATCCTCCAAGATTAGTTATTTCTACAATCAACTTGATTTAACTCGGATTTCTAGAAATGGAGACAAATGTATTCTTTGTGCTCGACCCTATAGGTTTACATACTCCTTAGCAATATTCTTGTGTGATGTGTCGTGGGCATACAATACCTTACAATTGTCATCACAACTACCACCCCTCACCTGCCCCCACTTACCCCATAAATCACCATGTCACTAATGTCGTCATCATACCTACCATCCACCCTCACCCTACTGACCATCATGCTATTATTTTCATCATCATAACCACCCCACACCCACCCACCCAACGTACCTCACATCTACCCCTTCCACGTGGGTGGCAGGGGCAAGAGAGGGTGGATTTTTTAGAGGGCATAGTGGGTTAGGGTTGGGGTGGGTTGGGGTTGATGGTATGGGGAGGTGGCGACTGTGTTGGGGCAGGTGTTAGGGGAGGGGATTGGGGCATAGGGGTTAGGTGAGGTGGCTACCACCCACCATTAGTACCACCAAGCCACAATGGTCGTCATCACAGCTGCTACCCCCACCCACCCATACTTCTAACAACCGATATCACCATACCACTAACGCGGTCGCCACAGCTTCCACCCCGACCCTCTCCCAAACAAATATGGAGATTTCAATTCTTTCAAGAGATTTCATTCCAATTCCTACCTATTAAACGCATAGTCAAATTTCAGTCTAATTCCTTTAAAGTAAAATTCTTTTAATTGATTCCAATTTCATGGAATTTCATTCTGCGAATCAAACCAAACATCCCCTAACAGATTAACCACTAAACCACCTAATTTAGATAAATATACACATATACCTTTCACACAATATTTAATAAATATTGCTATAATTTTAAATTAAGTAAATTATAATTTTAACCTTAATTTTTTTTGAATTTCATGGAAGATAAATGTCATTATTTATTCGTCAATCTGTTGACATAGACAATTAGAGACGATTAAAATTGGTCTCAATCCTCGATCAATACCAGGCGTGACCAAATTTGGCCATCTTTATAAGCAAGGGTATTATTAATTTTACTATAATTATGTATAATTAAAAATAAAATTATTATTCATTTAATTTAAGCGCTCGAGTAAAACAAATAATGACTATATATCTTTTAAAAACATGTTACAAATTTTGAGTTTTTATTTTATTTTAAATGATAATTGAATCAACAAGTGATTTGTATTTAACGATGGACAAGTAGCCGCCTATCTCCATTATTATAATATGACAAATTACAGACAGCTTTTGAGTCAACCTTCGATTTCAAATTTATATTTCAAAAACAATTATTTGAATACCATATATGTAATATATTGATCGACAATGTTGTCACACAATCATATTTGTTCCATCATTAATTCAATAACTTTATTTACATACATCGAAATATATTGTTAATTTGAATAATAATAATAATAATCTATACTATATTATAAAACATTTGATAAAAACTTTTAAAAACCGTTTTTATGCATTAAGTACTGTTTATTAACACATATTACTTAAAATTTTAAGATTACAAGTAAATTATACGTAGATACAACTTATTAAAGCTCTATTTTCAATTTGTACAACTAACTACAGATAAACATAATCAAATACAAGATTAACATATTATTTTAAATATAAAAAATTTAAACTATAATTAGGATAATCATTGAGTAGTAGCATAATCATTATCTTTATAAAAGTTATATTGTTAAGCCAAAAATAAATTTGCTTCGTTATTAACTCTACATTAAATTATAATAAAAAATTGAATTAAAGAAATTATACAAAAAAATAGAACTTTTAAATAGTTAATTCAGTATTAATATTGATATATTTTTTTCAATTTTTATGATATCTCCAAATATATTTTTATTCAAAAGTAAAACATTATCTTTATCAAAACCATATAAATCGTACTATATCAACAGAAACAAAAAATAAAACGAAACACTAAAATAAAGATGTATCTCAGTGTATTGCACAAATCCACTTCTAATAATAATAATAGACGTCAAAGCAGAAAAAAAATTATTTTAATAGAGAATAGCTTTCCAAACTTTCATTTAATTTTAATTATTTGATTTTTTAATTTGTACAAAATTGAAAATGAGTACAATAATTGATAATATGATATATAAGAAAAGGAAATTCAAAATTGTTGTCATAAAACTATGTTTATTCTTTACAAATGTTTAACATCTAAAATTTGGTATCTTAAAAATATTTGTTAAAAAAGAGTACAATAAGTCATATCCTCAAAAAAAAAACTACATATGTATAAAAAATATTCATTATTGTAATAAAGTCTTGCCATATAAGTTTAGTTATACCGTAATGGTAATTTGTCATTATAAAATTAAACTTCACGAATAACGTTACGTAACAATAAACGATATTAACTTTTATTGTCAAATAACAATATTTCGTAATATTTGTTGATCTGGTGTTAATTTAAATATGGTTGATTTTAATTATTATAAATATCTTGTAACATAAATTCATGACAAATTTATTTTAAACAACTATTTATTTAAAAAACATAAACCACATAACGTTATTTTATAAAAATAAAAATGTAAATGATTTATTTAATCATTGAAAAAGTAGCAGCCTATGCGAATTATTATGCAAGAACAAATACAACCACAAGTCCCACCAAATCTTGTCGGATAGCTGATGGATCAATTTAAAAGGTTGATAAAAAGGATCGGAGCATTAAAATGGTAAAATAGCTGTTTATGTTATTTTATTAATTTATTGTGTAAACAAATGAATACCAATATCAACATCAAACAGTCTAACGTAACTAAACTAAACCTATAACTTGTGAAATATCGTGAACGTTAAGTAAGATATACACACACATAGTTATATTAAGTGAACACATTATGAACGTCAAGTAACTACAAACCTAAAAACTAAAATTTGTGAACATATGAAATATTTAAAATTTGTATGATTCTAAGATACATTATTATAATGTGAATTTATAATGAATTTAAATCAAACTACAATAATTCTAAGACTGAACCACTTGTGCGCAAACTAAGGACAATTGGAGACTCAGAGACTCTGCATATATAATGCAGAGGCTTTGCGTCTGGAGTGATAGCTCTGTATCAAGTCACTAAGCTTTTTGACGCTTAAGACTTGATCTTTATCTGTTTGAGCATTGGCTCTGCATGAGAGATTTTTGCTCTGTATGAAAGAGAGCTCTGTCTCTTGGTGACCTTTGCATGTGAGCCCTTGATCCAGACTGCTTCTAAGACTAAGTCCTATTTGACTAATGTAATAGACTTCTTATTTACGCTTTACAAATAGAGTTCTAACAAATATATTTATGTCTTAATTGACAAAAATATTTATGCTATATACTATGATAATAAATAAATAATAGACTTACAAAAATCTAGATTTTTATAAGTTAATTAACCAAATTTGAAACATTGAAATGTGCCGACAATCTTCTACTCTTTCTTCTATCAAGTTAAAAGTAATAATCACTTTTTATAATGTTGTTTAAACCTCATAACTTAATTATTATTTTGACCTTAAGTTCATTTCATGTTTAATAACCACAAACTAGCTTAGTTAATACAAGGGTGGTGCCTGATTGATTTGAACTTGACTCTAAAGGTTAAAAGTACCAGGAGGTCTCAGATTCAAATCCAAGGAGGAATAAAAATCCTCTTGTGGCCACGGAGGTCAAATGCGGTGACTCCGGGCTATCTGCAAAGCATGTGGTCGTCTTGCAATTAGTCAACTCGCATAACGGGTTGGATATCAAGATTAATAAAAAAAAATTATTAAAAAAGTCATCTTTAATTAGCCAACTAACTTAATAGATATAATTGTATTTTTTTGAAAAACTGAAAAAGTTTCAATAAACTCCAAAAAGTTTTATTAATCCTTTTTTCCAATTTTGTCCTTTGTATTTTTTTTCAATTGATTTTTTTAACATGTCATTTTAAATAACTTGTACTATCTATCTAACTTATTAGCTGTGGTTTTATTTTATTTTATCAAACTTGACTATTTTATTAATTAATAACTAACTTTATCAAGTAAAAACAATTTTTGTACCAATAACTAGTCTATCAAGTAATTTCCCACAATTAATCTCACTAAACTTGGAACTTTTTTATATAATATATATATATATATATATATATATAACTTTGAAAATTAATTTATAACCAATAAATCACAAGAAAAGTCTAGCATTTATTATTTGAAAACAAGATGTGCATGCTTGTTCGTGGAAGGCTACATTACATACATGCATTTGCACAATTAATGAATGTAGCTACCTCCTTATTTAAAAACAAATTTACTACTAATCCCATTTAAATCAATAATAATAATAAAGATGGTAATCAATTTTCTAGTTAACTCTGCTGCAATCGCGTCTGATCTCACCCTGGTTACCGGTCAAAACCCCAACACGGCCAAGCTTGGTGATGGCGCTCACGAATGCCTGGTTGAAAGCATTGTTGTTAGAAGCAAACAGGTTGACCGTCGGCCTTGACCGGGTGTCCGTGAACAAGACTTGGTCAGACGTAAACAAACCCTTCCCTTGTTGGAGGTTCTTATAATACGCATTGTCAAAAGTCTGCGGTGTTGTGGGATCCATGTTAATCGCGATTCTAGGGTCTACATTCACCGGACACATCTGTCGTAGCTCAAGAGCGTATTTCCGATTCAAGTTCGGGTCTATTCCGGCCTTTGAATAGATACGCTTCGAGAATTGATTACAGTGTGAGAATCCAAGCGTATGTGCACCTACATACAATTTGAATAAAACGTGTAAGAAAATACATATTTTAACCAAAAACATGAAACGAGTTCAGTATATTTGGTTTAAAAGTTAAAGAGTAGTATTCACCTGACAAAGCAATCATATCGGTTTGAGAGAGACCATGAGAGGCGAACATGGTGTTAAGTTGGTTGAGGTTAAACTCTGCATGTGGGAGTTTGTGTTGGACACTTTTCCTTGTAGAGATTCTCCCATCTCTTCTTCCCAATTCCACCTTGTATGATGGACCACCTGTCTGTATATTTATATATAAACAATTAAGAATTAAAGAAAGGCTTTATTTCATGAAGAAAGAAAATATAAAAGTCACAACAAGTTTTTACCAAGGCAACAACATCTCTGGTGGCAAGAGCTAATATATCTGCACACGAGACTTTGTTCCGGCAATTAGGATTGCTGTCGACAGCGGCCTTGGCTTGAATGACGGTGTCGAATCCGTCTCCGGCAAGAGACAAGTCGTCGTGATGGTCTTTTTCAGCATTTGCATTCGTCAGAAAAACCGAAGCATCACACCCCTATACATACATATATACACACACAAATAAATATATAACACTGGTGATGTAAGTTACATGCATGGTAATAAGAAAGAGAGGTGAAAATGGATTATGAAGAAATGAACTAGGTGAGTTACCCGAACGAAACAGTCGTGGAAGAAGAGGCGGAGCGTCCCTGGGGCAGTGACGAAAGTCTGTTGGAATTTCTTGGCGACGGCTGATCGAACTATAGATTCGACATTAGGGCAAGTGGATTGGTAGAAATTTTGTCTAAGTTGAGCATAAGATGAAGCAACAAAGAAAGAGATGAACAAGAAACATAGCATTTGCTTCTTCATTTTGCTCTTCTTCTCTTTGTTATAATTAATATTGTGGTGGTGGTGATTGTGAACATATTTATATAAGTACCTACATGTATTATTTATTATTTATAATATTATCAAATGGAGTGTTATTTTAAGTGTATATGGAAAAAAGTATTTCATAAAAAAGGTGTTCACTAAATAAATAATATCTACATTCAAAGTGTAAAAAAAGCATTTTACTTTCTTGTGGTATTTATATGTAATTGCATTTATAAATGAAAATGGATATGGTTGTTAATAGAGTACTAGACTTAGGATGGATAACGACCGATCTATCATATGTATCTATACTATATTATAAAGTATTTAATAAAAAAATTATGTATAAAATACTGTTTATTGATATATATATATATATTACTTAAAATTTAATATTACAAGTAAATTATTCATAAGTTCTACTTATTAAAGCTTCATGTTTGAATTCGTATAACTAACTGTGGGTAGATATAATCAAATAGAAGATAAATATCTCATTTTAAAATATAAAAAATATAAAATGTAATAATTAATTATTATCTTTATAAAAAAATTATATTATTAAACCAGATATAAATTACTTCGTTATTTAACCTAAATTAAACTAGAATAAAAAAATTACACAAAAAATTTAATAGTTAATTTGATACTAATATCGATATACTTTCGTCAAATTTTTATGATATCTTCAAATTTATATTTTATTTAAAAATAAAAACATTGTCGCATTTTCCAAATCACATAAGACCATATTATAACATTGACTGAGATAAAGAATAAAACGAAATATTAAAATCAAGATGTATTTTGTTGCATTGCACGAGTACCCTTCTAGCATATCATTTGTATATTTAGTTATAGGTTGACCTTTCAAACCATTTGATTCGAAATGATAAAATTAACATCGTGTTACTCTTTTTCTGCTAATTTCATTTTTTTTCCAATCAAATTTCGATATGTGTAAAATATAATATGTAAATGTATGCGAGGGTGGTTATGTAATGTAAGAGATGCATGTATAAATAAATGGTAAGATGAAAGAAAAAAATATATGACATTTGACGTTTTATCGAATAAAAAAAATGATAAGAAGAGATTCTTTTTTCATTAAACTACATAACGGACCATTAAACAATCAAATCAGTTGGTTGTTTCGGCCAAACCACGATCATCCCTGATCGACCTCATAAAACATGCAACCCAAAATTGGTAAACGCTTGATAAACAAAAATAATTAATTTTCCGACAGACAAAGGTTATAAAATGTTTTATTTTAGAGGAAAATGAAGGGTTACATGGGTTAGGTACATATGGGCAGAAACTTGCGATTTTCTAGTTGTCACGCATCCACCTAATATAATATTCTCTCGGTAAAGGTTACCAACGGGTTAAAACTATGAGATTAAAAAAGGAGTCAATTCTGATTTTGGTCATTTTGAGGTTTATTGGAATATTTCAAGTGGGATTTCATCTTTAATAAGTTTAGAAGTTCTCTCTATAGTTTTCAATTTGCATTTAAAGTATCCTTAATTATTAAAAATCCGTTTACCTAAATACTTACTCGATAAGCATTTATCGAGTAAATTCAACACTATCACTTATTTACTGAGTAAGATTTAAGTCTATCAAAACGACATTGTATGCAACAATTTACCCAGTAAGTGCTAACCGTGGTAAAAGTCATCGCCCTCACTTACCGGGTAAGATTCTCAGTCCTTGCGTTCGCTCTTACCAGGTGAAATTCTTGGTTCTTCTCATATTCATCCGGTAAGGTAATATAACTCGGTAAGATTTACTCGGGTAAGCGTTTAGTAAACGGCCCCACTCTCTAGAAAATGTCACTTAAATTGAGCGGTACTTCTATCTTTTCATTATTATTATTTAATTAAAAAAAAAAACAATGTAGTAATATTTTATTTAATTATGTATTTTATATTTTATTTTCTAAGGAACTAATATATATATAAGAAAGATCATGAGAAGCTAAATGCGAGAAGACAAGAAGTATCATTATAATATATAATTACACTTTTTTGGATGTATTTAATTATATATGATTAAACGTCTATGTGTTTCAATTCAAATGTGTTAATCATATATGATTAAGATTTTGTATCATGTGTCATTCATATATGATATTAAAATTTCTCGCCTTCTTGCAAAATGTTTAGTTTCTCGTTTAAACCTGCCCCTATATATATATATATATATATATATAGGTCCATTCAAGAAAAAACTGAATAGTTTGTGGTAACCGTGAGATCCAATCTCACCCACAAATCAATAGATAAATTAGAAAATTTATAATTTTGGTAATTTTGAATTAAAAATTTAATGCAAGGATGTTTTAGGTATTTTCTCTCCTTTCTCCTCTCTTCTCTCTCCGTCCTCCGGCAACCATCCTCCGACCACCATCCCCCGGCCACCGTCCTCCGGTAATACCACTGTGGTACCAAAAAATATTGACTCTGTTAAACAAAAGATACATTGTGATACCCAATCATATATAAGATGCATTGTGATACCACTGTGTTACATCTCCGATCGACCACATCAACGACCTCAATGTGATACTCAAGCACATATATGATGCATTGTGATACCATTGTGGTATCACCGGAGGACGGTGGCCGGAGAGAGAAGAAAGGAAAGATGAGAGTTTTAAAATACCAAAAATATATTTGCATTAAAATTTTAATTCAAAATTAACAAAATTATGAATTTCCTAATTTATCTATTGATTTGTGGTTGAGATTGAATCTCACGGTTACCACAAACTAATTAGTTCTCATTTGATTAGGCTCATATATATATATATATATATATATATATATATAGGGGTCTATTCAAGGGAGAACTGAGTTGTTTGTGGTAACTGTGAGAACCAATATTAACCACAAATCAATAGATAAATTAGGAAATTTATAAATTTAGTAATTTTAAATTAAAATCTTAATGCAAGGATATTTTTGGTATTTTAAAACTCTCATCTCTTCTCTCTCCGGCCACCGTTCTCCGGCCTCTGGCCACCGTCCTCTGGCCACCGTCCTCTGGTGATACCACTATGATACCACTGTGATACCTAAAAATATTGACTATGTTAAACAAAAGATACATTGTGATACCTAATCATATATAAGATGCATAGTGATACCACTGTGTTACATCTTCGATCGACCACACAAACGACATCAATGTGATACCCAAGCACATATATGATGCATTGTGATACCGTTGTAGTGTCACCGGAGGACGGTGGCCGGAGAGAGAAGAGAGGAGGGAGGAAAGTTTTAAAATACCAAAAATATCCTTGCATTAATATTTTAATTCAAAATTGCCAAAATTATAAATTTCATAATTTATCTATTGATTTGTGGTTAATATTGGTTCTCACAATTACCACAAACCAATTAGTTCTCATTTGATTAGGCCCCTATATATAATATATATATATATATATATAATATATAATATATATATATATATATATATCGGGAACATTCAAAGGATAACCGATTAGTTTGTGATAACTGTGAGATCCAATCTCAACCACAAATCAATGGATAAATTAGGAAACTAATATTTTTTGGTAAATTGACTTAAAATTATAACTAAAGGGCATTTTAGCTATTTTAAATTTTTTGTCTCTTATCTCTCTCTATCTCTCCTACCTCCGGCCTTCGACAAACACCATATGCTACCCAAAATACACCAAGATGCATAATGTGATACCCAAAATACATACAATGTGATACCCAAAGCACGCAAAGTAAACTTTGAGACCATTGTGATACCAACTATGGTACCATTGTGGTAGGGATAGGGGAAGGGAGATAAGTAGTGAAGGGGCCACAGGGACAAAGATAGGGCTAGCTATCGGAAATGCTCATAGGTGGGTGTTTAGTGGTCGATCATTGGAGACGACGTCTTGGTCAGACAAGATGACTGGAGGAGGTCACCGGAGTGATGGTGGGGGCCCGAGAAGGCCACCAGATTTGGTCCCTGTGTGTATATATATACATACACATATATTAAAATAATTAAACTAATTAAATTAAATTAGAATATTAAACTAATTAAAGTAAATTGAATAATCAACACAATTTACTAATTTACCATTTGTTGTATTTTAGTAAATAACATTAATTATCTAAAACGATTGGCTCATATTAGACCTCACAATTAACATAAATTATCTAGTTCTCATTTGATTAGGCCCATATATATACATATATATACATGAGCGATCAAATGCAAACCACTCATATTTGTACAAAACCACCCTTATTTGTGCAATTTCATTGTTTAATGTTATAAAAAATTTCATGAAATTGTTTCATATAATCATTTTTTGATGAATTTGTTCATATATGGTTATGAAATTGTTTCATATAATACTTATGAGATTTTAATGAAATTGTTTCATGTATTTTACTAAAATTAATATAATGAATATGACAATATCCATGATTAACACTCTTTACAATAAAAATGATTAATCAACCTCTTATAATTACAAAATAATGAACAAAATTAATAATTATGATTGGTTGAATGATGTGCGGTTTATACAAATAACGTGTTTTGCAAAGTAAACTTCTTCTCTCTTGTTGATCATCTCTCTCAGTGATTTGATGATAATCCCTTTTTTCTTTCACGTTGTATTTATGTTTCTGTATTTTCAGTTCCAGCGATCATCACTGAGTATGTTCAGTGATCGCTGAAGAACTTGCATTGTAAATCTATCAGAGACAACAATACTTCAAGAAGACAACACTCACACCAAAGAACCTT